CAATGCTGGTATCCTGCGAGACAAGGCATTCAGCAACATGGACGACAGCCTTTGGGACCCCGTTATGAATGTCCATCTCCGAAGTACATACAAGGTCACTAAGGCCGCTTGGCCTTACTTCTTGAAGCAGAAGTATGGGCGTATCGTAAACACTACGTCCACAAGCGGCATCTACGGCAACTTTGGCCAGGCGAACTACGCCGCAGCTGTAAGTGTCCACTAAACAGTAGAAGACAAGACAATTACAGTTAATACTAACAACTAATACAGAAAGCTGGTATTCTTGGCTTCTCGCGCACGATCGCTCTCGAGGGCGCCAAATACAACATTTACTGCAACACAATTGCGCCAAACGCCGGAACCGCTATGACGCGCACGATATTACCCGAGGAATTGGTCCAAGCCTTTAAGCCTGACTACATTGCTCCTCTTGTCCTTGCTCTCTGCAGTGACAAGGTCCCCGAGAACCCAACCGGATACCTATACGAAGTAGGCAGCGGTTGGTGCGGCCGGACAAGGTGGCAGCGATCCGGAGGCGTCGGTTTCCCCATAGACGTCAAATTAGTTCCTGAAGAGGTTGCCAAGAACTGGCCCAAGATTGTCGACTTCGATGACGGCCGAGCGGATCACCCCGAGAAGAGTCAGGACTCGGTAGCGAAGGTCATGGCTAACATGGAGAACAAGCGAGCGGCATCCAAGGTATGACGAGCCCTTCTCTTTCCTTGATGCCCTCTGTTCAAGTATCATGTATATATAGTGTTGTAGTCTAGTATACGAATGAAGGATTGATATTAACGCATCCTCTTTTGTCAGAAGTCTTCCGGGGGCAACAAGTACCTTGAAGCCCAGAAAAAAGCTCTAGCCGCTACATCGCCAGCCACGGAGTTCACTTACACGGAGCGTGATGTCATGCTCTACAACCTGGGTATCGGTGCTAAGAGGACCGAGCTAGCTTACGTGTTCGAGGGTCACGAGGACTTCCAAGTGCTGCCCACGTTCGGCGTGATCCCGCAGTTTGATGCCAACATGCCCTTCAGTTTCGACGAAGTGGTGCCCAACTTCTCGCCCATGATGCTGCTCCACGGCGAGCAGTACCTTGAGATCAAGAAGTACCCGATCCCGACGGCGGCCAGGACTAAGAACTATGCCAAGCTCATCGAGGTAGTGGACAAGGGCAATGCGGCGGTGCTCAAGAGCGGCGTCACTACTGTTAACGCCGAGACGGGCGAAGAGCTGTTCTACAACGAGGCCACTGTGTTCCTAAGGGGCTGTGGCGGCTTTGGTGGTCAGAAGAAACCCGCGGATCGGGGTCCGGCGACCGCGGCGAACAACCCACCAAGGAGGCACCCTGATGTGGTTGTTGAGACCGCAACGACGGAAGAGCAAGCTGCTATTTACCGATTGAGCGGCGATTACAAGTGAGTTCCAACCCCGTCTCCCTTCCTCATCTTCGGATAGTGACTTTGAACTAATCAACATGATACCAGCCCCCTACACATTGATCCCAACTTCGCCAAGATGGGTGGCTTCAAAGTGCCCATCCTGCACGGGCTCTGCTTCATGGGAATCGCAGGTAAGGCCGTATATGAGAAGTTCGGCCCCTTCAAGAACATCAAGGTGCGCTTCGCAGGCACCGTGCTCCCCGGACAGACCCTCGTCACCGAGATGTGGAAGGAAGGGCCTAATAAGGTGATCTTCCAGTCCAAGGTCAAGGAGACGGGTAAGCTTGCCATTTCCGGCGGCGCGGCGGAGTTGATTGATGGTGGGAAGAGGGAGGGCAAATTGTAAGATTACGATGTGACGTGACGTGACGTGACGGGTAGACATTTTATGCGTTTTGTTCTCTTTTTATGCATGGGTTGAGTCTGGCGTCTTTATTAGAAGATTAAATAGTGTAGTTTGAAAATGTGCTTTTTTACTCTGCTTCGGATGCATCTAAAATAAATAAAATTGTGTTATTTCTAATCAGATTTCTTTTACTGGTGAAGCTGAGCTGTCGTTCAACGGTCGGTGTGAGGAGGAAGTGACGTTATTAAGGATACCTATGAGAACGTTAGGAACTTTAAATATGAAATTTTTCGATTAGTACAATAATAGTTGATAAATGGTTGATATGATATGAATACGATAGGAAGAGACTACTCCCTAAGGACAGCGACTAAGCCATGCTTACAGCGCGCTGACATGAGGATGAACAGATAACCTCAAGAATAGAATATCTAAATGATTGTTTACACTAAATTACTAAAGGCTGTAGCTTGCGACAAGCCGTTGCATGTATAATGCTGCTGGTGGGTATAAAAAATGCACTGCGGCCTCCTTTTCCATATTATACAACCCTTGCTTTCTTTTCTTGTATGCCGAATTCCAGTATAATGCTCGCTTTTTCAAAAGTTGACTTCAAGACGACGGTCAGCTAGCCTCCCAACATGCTCCTTTTTGACAATCCTTCGAACCTAAAACTCCGTGCTCTATCAATTCCCACCTATCATACAAATAAAGTCTCTATAATAAAGTCGCAGAACTCCTCGACAGTTGGAATCTTGCCTCCAGGAAGTAGCTGCCCCAAGCCTCCGTTTCTTCGACCAAGGGGGCCTACGCCGTCTTCAAGGTATGCCTTTTCGGCGTCGGAAAGCTCCCGCCTTTCACATTCTCTCCACTTCCGTTCTGCTTCGATTTTGGCCTTTCGGAGGATCTCTTCGGTGTTCTCGGTCTCCCACAGGTTACATTTGTTACATTCTTTGCATTGCCGTCCGTCGCCTTCGGGCCTAAAATGTTGACAAAAATGAGAGTAGCCTTCAGTTGGCGTACCGATGTCTTTGCGGCAGACGTAGCACATCTTGTACCCGCAGGGACAGGTTAGCTTATTGCATCCGGCTGTCTTGACAAACGACATATTACACCGCGGACAGACACGCTTGATCGCCATTGACATTGCGAGCTCCACTTGCGTCCTCAGAGCAACTAGGGACGATTCATGGCAGACATGAATATCCACCCACGCTTTCGAGCATGATAGGCAAGATGAACGTCCACAGGCAGGATTCTGACACGTGAATTTCAACCCGCGGCGACGACGCTGGTACCGATTCATGGCAGATCTCAGATGCCAAGATACATAACCCCTGAACGACTGGTTCAAGCAGAGGATGACGAAAGCAAAAACCACCGTTAGAAGGGGAAAATAGAACGGAGACAAGATTAAGCAGACGAATATGATGATAATGTTTGGGAGGTTGCTTGCGCGGAGCTTTGGCCTGGGTGAATTAGCCGGCATATATAGATCGTCGACTTCGGCATAGGTGCAGAACGGGCATCGAATTAGAGGTAAGCCGCTTGACAACAGGCCGTGTTCTGCCAGGCGTTGGTCGAGTTTGCGGAGTATCTCGTCTCCATTCTTTTCCTCGCGCATTGCTCGATGAATATGTTCAGAAGATATGCGGCCGTCACATTCTATTGATGCCACAGCAGGGCATCGAAGAGCGCCTGTTTCTTTCTCAATGTTACGTTGCCAACCTTGCCCAAATATTGCTTCGGTCATGGAATGTTGAACGCAGCGAAAGCAAACTAGATGTCCTTCGGCATCGCAGGTGGTGAGTTCTTCAAAAATCACATCGGAGTAGCAGCAACTACACTCATATGTTGCCTCGTTAGCTTCAGCTTCTTCTGTAGACAGAGAGAGGGCCAATGCACGGTCCTTTTCCTCCCTCGAAAGTTGCTCGCGTTGCTTCAGCGGCATAATCAACTCCTCGAATAGTTCTCTATCCAATTCAGCGCAGCCGGTTGCCTTTAAAGTCGGTATCATGGACCCATCACTAGCAGCTCTCCATATAATAAGGGGATGTGTTTCGGCCTCCGTAGAGGAAACGGGTCTACGACGAAAGAATATAGACGATATAGTAAACTTCCACGATTTGGAGGAAAGATCAACAAGGGTCGGTCGCGCGTCGAGATACGAATAGTTGGACTCGGACAAAACCGCATCGATGGAGGACCTAGATAAACCCTTAAACTCATGCATTGCCAGAGCTCGTACCGCCTTCTTGTATTCCGCCGTTCTGAAAGCCTCGGTTCGCGAAACAAGAGTGGTTGAGTCGGAACTACTATTGTCACTGGTTCTCCGTCGGCCCTTCACGTATAACCCGGGATTTTTTAGCAACTTGTCCGTGATGATGAACAGTCGCGATTCCTCCGAAAAGGAAGTAAGCATTTCCCTGAAAACCTCTATTTGGACATCCGGAAACAAGGCAGCAAGCATTTCAAGATTATTGTTTAATTCGAGGACATCCTGAGCTGTAGGCGTGACGGGAAGGAGTTGCGACTCGTCCGAGAGGTATTCAGGAGAGGAGGAATCGATATTCTGGGACCGTGATGGCGAGACTTCAGGAGAATGTCTAGACGACTTCGACTTGCTTGATTTGAAAGAACCCCTCCGACCCGAAGGGGCACTTAGAAAGCCTGAAAGGAACATGTCTAACGTCGAGTCAAGTGAGGTCAAAAGGGTAAAGCATCGTCGTTGGATTCGTTCAAGAGAGTTGAGGCTCGTCTACACTAGAGCAAAAATATGGACAGGGTCCCTGTTAATACCAGAGGATATGGACTGGGAAGTTAATACTCCAAGACACTGATAACTTGGCGTACAACAAGAGTGAGCCCAGAGAACATTATTGTCAGCACATTTCTTAACATAGAACTAAATATTGGCTGGGAGGAAAAGAGCTTTACAAAATGGAAGGACTCCGAATAAAGTCGTGCTGAGAACATGCAACTATGAACCTTGAACATGTGCTTTGAAGAAATATGGTTCACCTGGTAAGGCTTGCGCATGCACGAGATGTGGTACTGGAGTGGGGGGCCTAGTCGGTCTAGTCAGCCTAGTTGAAATTCCGACTTAAGGCAGGAAGAAAGGGGCCAAGGGGAAAGGTACATAGAATACAAAGAGTGGCACCTTCCCTAATCCGAAGCAATGCCGGAGGTATAATGCTAAGGAAATTTGCACAGGCTCAATGGTCTAGTAGTATGATTCGCCGTTCGGGCTGGATTTATTCCGAATGATCGGCGAGGTCCCGGGTTCAATTCCCGGTTGAGCCCTGCGTTTAAATTTTTTGCTTTTTTTGGGTATTAGTTACATGTGTCTTTTTGGCCTTAGAGGCCGTTCAACACCTTTATTTAATTATTGACTTCTGTAATGTATGCGCGCGATCCTATATCGTGCCTTCCTCATAAAATATAGAACTCCAAATACCATATTGTCCAGATTGAACTTTAATACCCGATCTCTGGTTGGGTCTAACCAGATCTGCAAGATTCATTTCCAGCCTCACTAAAAATAATATTTATTGTGCAACGCAACAAGATATACAATACATGTACAAATGCTATCTTGCCTGCAAAAGGCCGACATTAATCAAAGCAATACCAGGCTTCGTTGAGGCATTTGGTCTGCTTAACAAACATTACCTCTAAGGGCCTGCACGGGTCTAGATTCCCTCCTTTCTCAGGAAGATGTCTTGTAGTTCCGCCTCAACTAGGCCTACGAGGACTATCGAGGGGTTCTAGAATTTAAGCTCTAGAATTATGACGAGGATTAGGTTCGAATTCGGTATGGGACTTAAAGGTCCATGCTCTCTTCTAATACCAAGTCTTCGCTTTCAGTGCAAAGAAGACACGATGCAACATATTATGCCAGCAAGCTCATTATTTCTTTTCTTAGAGTGAACGATCTCTAGTTAGCGATAATATTTAGGATCGGCTAAGCTTGTATAGAATGCTCTGTCCTTCAGACAGCCTGACGCTAAACCCCGAACTCTCAGGCCCTAGATCTTCGCCTGTCCATACGTCTTGGATATCAAATGTCCCACTGATTCCGAGATCACTCCAAGACACATTCACAGTCTGCACGCCTGACAGCGAGGTTCCGAAGCCACCCTGTCCTTGGTCCGGTCCATAATTTACAATGACCACAACTGCGGTTCCGGATGGATCTGGTCCGGCAATCCACGCTTGAAGCTGCTGCGAGCTGCTTTTACCCGTCCCCGGATTACGGGGCTGCATCGGGAAATGCGCAGTGAAGTCGGCGATCGCTATCGCATTTGGATTAGTCATTAGGTTAAGCCCAAAGTCGTCAAGATTGGTCAGGTCAGAACCGATGATGAGATTGGCACCGGCCCCGAGCCAATGTGTCATGATAGTCTGCCGCTCGTCGTCTGTCACACCCGAAACGGAGGCGGGGTTCCCTACGAAAAGGTTGTCCATGTCCGGATATACGGTCAGAGTTGTGTTATATTGCATTACTGTGGTAATGTATTGGCGATAATTATCGATTGCTCGTTGGACGACCTCCCAGGATACGAAGGTCGGCTGCCCTCCGTTGTTGATGTCCTGATCCGTTCGCATCGAGTCAGCGTTCGCCTCCCAGATTTCAAAGTACTTCTCCGTGCGGTCCAGCTTCCACGAAATATCCAGGCGGATTTTTCGTCCTGATTGGCCAATAGCCTTGTGGTACGCAATGACCTCGCCGCTCAAGTCGGGAAGAAGATTCGCACCATTTGATGGAGAGCCTGGTGTGATATAGTCAAGTTTGATTAAGTCGACCCCCCTATTTCATCACTATATTAGCTTTAAACGGCTTGATCATATCTTCGCCAAGGGAATTTACCAGGAAGCAAATTGATTGACTACTGAGTTATGCCATTGCTGTACGGCGGGCTGAGAGTAGTCAAAATTGCAGCGAGCCAAGCCATTGTCGCCAGAGCACACTGATCCGATGGTGACGTTCGTCCCAAGAATCGTCTTATCCTCGTCAGCGATGAAGGCCCCGGGCACCACGTAAACGCCCAACAGCAATCCTTTCGAATGAAGGTGCTCCGCCAGACTTGGGATGTCGAAATTGGGCAAGTCATAAATAATACGTCCGAATTCATCCCCCTTGCCGCCTACAGACCAACCAGAATCAAGACTGCAGTACACATATCCGGCATCTTTCAGAGCAGCAATGTCAGCAAGGACGTCGCATTGGTTAACAACACTAGTCTGGTTAAACGAAAAGTCAGGCGTTGTATCAGGATTGGCCTGTATGCCGAAGGAGTTCCACCCCCTAGGTGGACTTGAGAAGCCGTTAGGCGTTGCCCCGATTTGAACAACTTTCAAGGGCGGTCCAGAAGCGGCTATCCCTAATGAGGCGGTAGCCACGACGAATAGAGACGAGCGTAGAGGCGTCATGACTAGTTGGAGCAGTGAGTAAATATTGGGGTAAGTAAGGAGGACTTGATGCAGCTCACGTTGCACAAGCGGAGATTATATATCTGTATCCCCGGGCATGTTCGAAGGCCGACGATCCACGGCCAAATGACAGGTGATTGGTGCTTCTAGAATCAAGGAGAGATGGTGTATTAAATCATCTAGTTTAAGGCTGTGCTTATGACGATCTCCCGTCAACAGTCACTAGTTCCTCTTCTGCTGGTGTCAGCATCGGACCAATACCCGTTAACTACGGGCTATAATTAACTTGAGGCGGTGGATTGTCTTTCCATTCATGTAAAATCGCAAAGAACCTCAGCTCGGGGATCATGCGATTGGCCTTTTGTGCTTCAACCATCCATCGTCACCCAAACTTGTATTGAGTTGCTCTACTTTTAGCAATGGTAATCAAAGTAGCCGCGATATAGTAAGAAACCCAGATTATATGCTTATTATTAGAATAACCAAGATGATAACACATTTATCTACTTTATTTATTATATATCCACGATTTTTTATGCCGCAGAAACCGTACTAAGCAGATCGTAGATGCCGATGGCTAGATGTGCCGGGTGACGCTGGTTCCCCGCCTCAGAAGGCTGGAGAAGGGACTTAGATCGAGGAGCATACGACCTCGGATACTCCTCTATTGATTGATGATTAGCAGTGATAAATACGGATTTTAGTCGACGAGCTGAAGGTAATAGAATAACGTCTAAAATTCATAACACTTATCTGCTTCGCACATCTCGCGCTATGGCTAATCTGCCGTTATTAGAGACCGAGACGAGTGGTATGGTCAAAGAGCTGGGTTTCTCTTCTAAACAGGGTGTCAATTGGTCCAACTACCTCATCTACCGCCCTACATACCCAACATCTTTCTTCGAGCGCATCTACCACTACCACGCTCAAAAACAAGGAGCTAGTTGGTATATAGCTCATGATGTCGGAGCCGGTTGCGGGGTTGTTTCTAAAACGCTTGCAGCTCGTTTTGACAGCGTCATTGTCTCGGATCCTAATGATGGCTACGTCACGCTCGCTCGGAAGCTCCTTGTTGAAGAAGCATTGCTCCCAGAATCCAAATTCAAGTTTCTACAGGAACCCGCTGAGAAGAGCTCTCTGGAATCTGACACAGTTGATCTAATCACGGCGTGCGAATGCCTTCACTGGACGACTCCCGATACTGCTATCAACGAATTTGGTAGGGAGCTCAAAACTGGCGGGACGCTCGCGATCTCTTACTATAGTCGCCCACTGATCGAGGGAAGCGAACAAGTCCAAGACGCTTGGAAAGCACTCTGGGCTGAGCATTGGAAGAGAGCTCAGCATACAGCGATTAAGGACGCTTGTCAGATAGCTAATACCGGGTTTGAAAACGTGGAATTCCCCGAAGAGGAGTGGGAAGGTGTTAAGAGGATATATATCAATACTCAGGGGGATATCAACGCGTTTGCAGTGAATGACCTGAGGAGCAAGAGTAAGGTTAAAGAATGCGAGGAGCAACTTTGGATAGAGGGCGATGAAGACTGGAGCGATGTGAAGGGCATTCAGTGGTTCAAGGGGTATGTTGGTACCTGGGCGCCGTTTATCCCGGAATCCGACATCCAAGGAACGTGGGATGATCTGGAACTCGCCTTGGAAGGGAAGCAAGTCAAAATTAGAACGCCAGTCGCTATGATACTTGCTACTAAGAAAACATAGTCTATGGGACTCGTAATGGGAGTCATACAATCGTATCATTTTGTACCTAAGCTGGAGGCGTCATTCATTCATAGTAATCAAGCATACTAGGTTATTGTCTCTTGGTCATCGCTATCCTATTTTTAACGGCAATCGCAGGCTATAAATAACCCTCTGTAAGCTGGGGTGTTCGAACCAATAGCGTGGGCTTAACGCTGCTACGTCTAACGAAGACAACTCGGATCAACTCGATATAATAATTCAACGACGTACGTCAGTTTATGGTCATTTGATCACGATGTTTATATACCTTAGGTAGGGGATATAACACCACATGGACATTATTGCTATTAAGATGTCGAGATATAAAAGCTGTTAATCACCTGCGGGTACCTTAGATTCGTTGAGTCTAACTTGGTTGAATTATTTACCTATTAGAGACAGGACAGTACAAGATAGATTAGAATGTCAGACACGATCCCCAAAGCTTTCTTCTCCAACTCCCACTCAAGCTTCGCTCTCATAGATCCAGCCACAGGTAAATTCCACCGCCGATTTGATCGCCATGGCTACCTTACGAGTGGCCTCAGGCGGCACGTCGCCATCTCATACGTTTGGAATGAATGGAAAGACAACCCTGCCGATAGACTGCCCAACTGGTCTCTTCTTCGCGAGCACTTACTTGCCGTTGTGGGAGATAATGCCCCGTATGGCCTGAAGAAGGAAACATGGGGGGTCAATAAGTGTTGGATAGACTGCAAATGCATAGATCAGAACACGGATTCTGACAAGGCCTACTGGATCCCCCGCATGGACGAGGTCTACTCGGAAGCGCGGTGCACTGTCCTCCTCGTATGCGACGACCTCTCGCCGCTTATGCATTTATCCCAGGAGACAGCGTGCCGCTTCAAGGGCAAATTGAACTCCGTAGACGAAATGCTCGCGCCGCACAACTGTCTCCTGAGCCAAAGTTGCACTATACTTCCAGAACTCACACCAGAACGCGAGAATCTCTGCCTTAACGCACTCAAGTCCTTTACAAGTGGCGCATGGCGGAGACGGGCGTGGATTCTGCAGGAAATCCTGCTATCGGAGAACTACCTGCTAAGCTGGAGCGCGAGCGGCTGGATGAGCCTGTCCGACGTCGGCGTCATAGCCGGCGCGCTGTCGTTCCGCCATCCCACGGATCTCTGGCTCCGCGAATTCGCAGATTGGTGCCGCCGACTGTGGTACCTGCGCCAGAACTACGGTGAAGCGCAGTCGTTTGAGCTCTCGGATGCCAATGTACTACAACTCGCAGCTGGTCTGGAAGCAACAGTGCCGTGCGACAAGTTCTACGCCCTGTGCGGCGTGCTGCGGCTCAAGGCCGTTAGATATGACGCGGGACATACTGCTGACGAGGCATTGCAAAATATAGTGGCCGAACTGGTTAGGAACGGCCGACTCTCGTGGCTTTACGCCATTCGGCCATGTCTGCCGATGACTGGGGTGAGGCTTCGAGCTAACGATATGATGCCCTTCGTGCTCACACGTCTGGACAGTCGACTAGTGGCCAACCGTAAAGAAACGGTCATGTCTGGAGGAAAGTTACGGTTCTCCGGTTTGCCCATTGGAGTCGTTGTCCGTACGACTCCTCTGAAGGACTTTCTCGAGCAAGCAGCAGCTTCTTTTGACGGACATCCCAAGTTCGATTTCAGTGCCGAAGAAGCACATCTAGCTTCCGCCCCTGCAATCATACGCCGCGTGGCCATTGATATAATAGAACCACTCTTAACAGAAGCGGTATTCGATACCATATGCGACAACCTATCTATCAGCCGGGAGATAAGCCCTCGCGGTCTCCGTGTGGCGATGGTGGTCATGCGTCTCTTCACTTATCACATAAATAACGGGCACACTCAACTTGAAGAGAACAACAACGATGCCGATTTGAGAACCCACGCAATGGTAGAAATTGCGGCATGGTCCATACAAACACGATTATCAGAGATGACCGACTTCGCCGTAATCGGATACAGTAAAGATACCATAAGCATCGACGACAACCCCGAGAACAGGTCGGCAGACGGAATTGGGCTCGGCACTTCCGCTGTCAAGGTCGGCGCCTTTATATACAGCATCGATGGAGACAGGCAGCTACAGGTCATAGCGGAAGCGCCGACTACATCAACATCTGGGACAAGCAGAACAGAAACAGATGTATCGAGCTTTCAGGGGATGATGTTAGGTCTCAATGGCAATGAAGTGATTGGTCCCCAGCCGTCTATGTTATTCTCTCGTGGGTTTTGGAGAGGACCTGGCCGCGATCAGAAAGCCCGCCAACTAACGTTTACCTGCTCCTGAAAGCGTTATCATCAGCGCAATGGCATGGCCTCCTAGCAATCCCTCTAGTCAAATGAGCTTCTCTCGTCTTATAAAAGATGCCCCTATTTTCAACTATTCATTCATTAATTCCTCCAATTTTAATGTGATTACGTATCTTTCATTTTATACAAGAAAACTCTAGGTATCCCTGCTCATTATAGCCTTTCTACCAAGTTGACATGCTCATAGGGTTTGATTCACCGGTCTTGGTAACAACCTGAAGAGCGTGCCTGCCTTCTCGAGGCTCTATGTGATCATCTACAGGGCTCAGTAGCTAAGTGGTCACAGCGCATCGTTCGGGTTATATAATTGAAGATCGATGAGGTCCTGGGTTCGAATCCCAGCTGAGCCCAATTCCTTTTTAGTATTCTGTCTTGAGGTTTTCAAGGTTCATTGAATTTGATAGGTTGAAGTAGCTAATATTATTTCCTATAGAATATGTGCTACAACCTGATTACCTAACATTGTACTATATACTATCGAGGCATAGGCGTTTCTTCTTTCAGTTTACTCGGCGTTGGTTATGTTTGTACTTGTCAGAGCGAAGCAAGCAACTAAGCTCTTAAACGCTGCTCTAGAGATGTAAGTCCCTAGTATTTCAATAATAGGCCAGTAACTAATTCAACAAGAAATACGGACGCGATAATAAATATTACTAAAGGCCCCCTTTTTACATAGATGGGCTTAAAAGCAGACCTTAAGGTGTATCTTAAGATACGTAATATTTATAAAAACTTCAGCGGGCTTAAAAGCGTGCCTGACAGGGACGCAGAGCAGTCATTAGCCAGTGAAATACACATGAATTTAAACATGTTGCTTCCACTGTTTCTCGCACCACTCCCAGAACTCAGTAGCTTTACCTTCCAGCGCCGCATTCAGTACATCTGGCCTCGACATCGGCCGAATACGGCCCCATGGCCAGATGTACGCGCCGTTGGAACTCTCGCTCACCTCGGGAGAAAAACCGGAGTACGGCATGGTATATGCACCATATTTAGCTTCATATAGGACCTAGTGTATTGAAACATATTATGTCAGTGCTATTTTTACCTTCGTTCTTATAGTACGCCAGAAATTGCCTTTTTTAAGTTTCATAGTATTGAAAAAAAAATGATTTACTCACTGCTATAACGTTAGCTAGTTTCTATGTCATAGGGATTCTTCTAAAAATCAAAGGCCGAGATCCTAACATGATATATCTTAATACATACCGAACGTCTTTAGAAACGCCATAAACAGCCAAGTTTTGTTTGCATAGATACCCGTGTGCAAGTTCCCAGGGTTCTGGCAGACACTAATGATGCCAAATCGACCCCAGCGGCGCGCACCTTCAAATGCAAGGAACCAATTCCCCGCCTTGGATGCGCCGTAATCTTGTAAAGTGGCTGTTGTTGGCTTCTCTATGCGTGCAAAATCTATACCACCATGGGGCGCGAGCATCTCGATCTGTGTTGAACCTGACCATACGATCCGTACGCTGCCTGGAGTAGCTATTTGCGCTGCTGCGCGGAGCATGGGCAGGAGTTCCTGCGCGAAGAGAAGCGGGGCGACGCAGTACGCGCCTACGTGCGCCTCAATGCCCTGCTTTGTTACGCTCCCCGGCGGGTGTCCACTTCCAGCATTATTCCACAGGATATCGAGGCCGTATCTCTTGCGCAGCGAACGACGCCGCTGCTGATTTGACCGTTGTCAGGTCGGAGAGATCAAGGTATAGAGATTTGAGTTTCGAAGGTGTTGTAGGAGAGGGTAGAACAGAGCTAACTTCGGCTATGGCAGCCTGGAGTTTTGGAGGTGAACGTCCTGCGAGGTAAATAGTGGCGCCAATGGGATAGAGGAGCTTTACAAGGGCTAGCCCGATACCTATAAGTAGTGTAAGTTGTACATGTCAGGAACCGTCCAACTAAGCACCTCAGGTGTACATAATGTAAGGATACCCATATACCATGGAACCCGTATAATGTAAAGTAAATTGGGAAGAATACCTGAATTGGCGCCGGTAATGACGAAGACCTTGCCAACTTGACTACCGGGACTGACATCCTTTTCGGTGAAGGTTGGGGCTTGTGGGAAGAACTGCTGCCAGAGGGCCCAAAGGACGGGTAACGTGGGCATGATGCGTTTTTGCCGGGTACCTGCAACCCGACTAGAGATTCTATATCACTCATTTATAGAATGAAACATGATATTATATAATTGTTTGGGGTTATATAGGTAGGTAGGTAGGTAGGTAGGTACCTAGGTAGGTATTATAAAACAAAATTTAAATTTGGGAAGCAAGGGAATACTAACTTTTGAATCGTTAGCCTCCCTTGCATGGACGAGTTACATATGTTGGTGTATTGAGCTTCCTTAATCGTGGGTATATAAGACAACAAGGTAGACTCGCCGTCAGGAGATGTTGGAGGGTATCGCAACCTTTATTATACGGAGGTTCTACTTAATCGATACATTAGATGTTTTAAATAAGATCATAAAATTATCATTTCGCAGGAGAGACGAGATTCCATTCTGAAGTTGTCCTCAATCGCTGCCTCTTAATATGTAGTGTAGGTCCTCGAGGTACCTAAGGTGCCTTGCCTAATAGGTAGGTACCTTTATTAAAAAAAAAAAAAAAAAAAAAAAAAAAAAAAAAAAACACTCGTCCGATATATCATAATTTTAGCTAATTTATCAAGTATTCTCTCACAGAATGAAAGCTAGGAGGTTGTAGCTCGTATAGTGGAAGATCAATTATCAAGGACTACCTTGACGCCTATTAGAGGTACAGATACCCTAAAATCGCCCCACTTTACCCCTAACATACATTCGCTCCTTATTCACGCGCTGCTTTTACGCAGTGAGGTAGTGTTTTTTGAACGCGATAGAAGCGGCGCGATTCTTACTCCTACTGCGAGAACCCACAAAATTATGAGGTGAAATACTGCTGGTAAGGGATAATCTCGGAGAAGCTTCTGAACCTCTTCGTGGTTTACTTGAGGCATGGCCAATGCTACCTCGCGAGTTACCTCGTCATGTTCCTCATCGACGAGAGTGGTCGAAGCAGTTGTTTGTCCAGTCTGACTCTCAGGAGCTGATGGACTGCAGTTAGGAGTTTCTGGTTGTTGGTAATCAGTTGGTGGAAGTAGATCCGGTACTCGTGTCGATATGGTTCGACCTATCGAGGGACCTCCTAAGGACATCACCGCTAGCGCTTGCTCCCGGAGCTCTTCCATAGGCGTAAGCTGTGGTATATCTATATCTTGCGGCGGACAATGTTGTTGTTGATCGTGTGGATTATCTCGTTCAGTTCTTGAGCTGTCCCCGTCTTCGATAAGCTCATAATAATCTCCAGTGTTTGATGGTTTCATCGGAACCTGAGCGACAAGCTTCATGTTCTTTTCAATCATGTCGTAGGGTATTTTCTTGGCTAACTCATCGAGGGGAGTCCGGTAAGGATTGTCCCTGCCTTGGAAATTCACCAAGGTCGTAGCAGTTTGGGGTTCGATGGGGAACTTAAACTTCTTGAATTTCTGCTTCGCCTTGTGACATAGATGCGACCCTATTCCCTCTAGACAGCCACTGACTTCAACCTGCATGAGGAACGGCTGGCCGTCATGCTCAAATGCGAATCCCGTGTGAAATGTGTTGTCATGCCTTGGCTGACGATCGAGTTCACTCTCGACGAGATTCCATTTAAGAATTGTAGGTCTCAGCAATTTGTTAGGCATTGTCAGACTCGAGAACTTCCATTGGCTTCGCTGGACATAATGCTTCTCGGAATCTCGTCCGACGCCACCAGCCCCAGCAAAACCGCCAACTTCAATACGTGGACTGAAATGATGCTTCGTAATTTTCAATGCTTCATCAATCTGACCGTGTAGGCTCTGCGGGCCATGTTCGGTGATATGAACGGGGACCTTGGCCTTAGCTGATGAAGATTCGGCACTGAAATGGCGCCGGAGATCTTCATCCTCTTCGTCTAGAGTTAGTAAGACAGTTGCACATCGGAGACGACATCCTGGCGGTTCGGTAAATGTTAAATCTAGATAGACAACACCACCAGGATTCTTGTCCGGGGTTAGAACGCCCCATCGCGACTCTCTAAATAAAAACTTGCAGGCGACTTCGATATCTCCAATCTTTCCTTGGCCGATATAATGGACCGAACCCTCCAGGCGTTCGAATCGCCCGAAGTCATACTTCCCGTATCTGCGGCCGAGTTGAAGGCGCTGTTGCCAGGGCAATGCAGGGCCGCTATACACCGGGTGACACCTTGTGTCAGGGATAGACATAGCGTTAATTAGGTAGATAAGGTGTATTGAATTGAGAATCAAGACTCCTAGCTGCCTGAGAAATCCGATCGTGCTACGACTCTTGAATGAGCAGAAATGGAGGAGTAGAACTAGAGAGAAGACGGGCTCCCACTCAACCAATTAATTCACCGCACTTGTCCGTGTGGCTTCACCGTTACATTGTGTAGGTACCTGTAGGTAGGCTGTGCAGGTTCACGACTTAGGTGGCAGCATAGGGGTGGGGAACTTATCTCAGCCGCTAGACTTGTAGCAGGCAGGCCTCCTGCTGCGGTCAAATCCACATATTTCCCAAGATTATAACTCTTTCAAACTTAACTTCTCCTTCCCCAATGATTTTCCCAGATTAAGGTCATTTGCTTGTGATTGGGCTACACAAATTCTACATCATTCGTTATCAGCTAGGCCCATGGCTACCCTACCTCAAGTCAAGGACTTTGGGGAGACTACCAGTGGAATCGATAGTGCTAGTGAATATACGGTAGACTGGCGACCAAGTCAAGCTATACCCCGGCTTGATGGACCCCGGGGCAAAGCCAACAGAACGCAGCTGATATCGTGGAAACCTCCAACTAGTGATGACGCGAAAAGTGATGAACGCCAACATCCGGGTCACAAGAATCTCCCAAGCCCCGTTCAAGTGAAGGACCTCAAGGAGACTTCTATAGGACCCAAGGTCACTCATAACCTACTAAGCCCACCTGAAGTTCTTACAAAACGGAATATCAATGGGATCTGGGACCCGAGCCATGACGCTGACATTACAGTTCACCTCAAGATGCCTCTACAGGAGGATCTTAGTGAGTGTCTTGAAGAGCTATGCCGGTTGGAAAGGCTAGGCGACTTTGCCTCCGCTAGGAGATTTTTCACGGAAAATCTGCAAGAATATCTAGACAGACCTCAAATCATGATCGAGTACGCAGAGATGTTGCTCGAACAAGGCGACTATAAAACGTTATCCGAGATCGAGGACGGCGTAATGTCCAATGTGCGGGGCAATCTTACCGATAGCAGTGATATGCTCCTACTTCGAATATACTGGGAATTAATACAAGTGCTTGCA